GGCCTGGGCTTCCCCCCTACCCTCCCCGATTAATCACTGAAACTGAGAGACAACAGAGACTGTGCAAGGGAGGGTGGCTTCTCCTCACCTCCCTTGCTGGCTTATGATGAAAATGGCTCAGGAGGCTGTGACCCTTGCCTCTGGAGAGAGAAGGGCTATGTGGAGGGTCACAGTGAGCCTCTGAGGCTAGCAAAATCCGCCAGGAAGCGCGGGACCCACGGAGACAAGGACAGAGCTTTGTCACACACCCCATAGAACTCTGCCAATTCTCCTGGGACCATACTGTGAACAGCGACTGCTGCACCAGCCACAGGCCCCTCCAAACTCTGCCAGTGCACCTGGGACCATATTGTGGACAACCACAGGCTCCCCCCAAGCCCTGCCAAGACACCTCTTTATAAGCTGCAGCCCCTCTGCTGTGCCAGTAATGAGCGCTAACAAAATGGGTTAGCCCTGCAATGCCTCAGCCTCTGCTTCGGGCTGGGCCTGCCACTATGCTGCATGATGCTGCCTTGTTTGGCAGACGTTTCTCTTGGTTGTGGATCCCAAACTCATTTTGCTTCCATCCAGTTGCCTTCCGAATTCCTGCTCCAAAGAGTCAGGAACAGTTAACAAGAGTCTGGTTACTCAGCAACCAAGACCAGCAGTTACTTGTCTGGAGAACAGAACTTGCCCCCACATGCCAGTGACATGTTTTTATTCAGTGGAGCCTTCCCAGAGGAAAAGACTTGTGAGCTCATCTAGTGTTTCCCCCGCCAATGCTTTGTGCTAGATTTTGTTTTCCTTTCTCAATAGACAAAGCAACTCCAGCTTTCTTGGGACCAGTGGGGCTGCAAAGATTTGTTTTACAAAAGTAGGCGATGTCTTGAATTATGCTGCACAAATCAGTCATCACTCAGGAACCCCAGAATGAGGGATGGGATCCAAACTGTGACCTGAACCTCGCTGTGAACCTCTCCACACTTCTCCATGTTGGCTGGGACTGGAAGTTCCAAGATGCAGACTATTTCTGGCCTCTCTGAAACCAGAAAATCCAGGAAGTCTCACCCAAAAGGGGGATCTCCTGAGATTGGCAGCCCCAGCGCGCTGGCTAAGCGCTGGAGCTGCTGGCTGGTTAATAGCGTATGCTTGTCAAGTGCTTTGGAAAGGAAATCTAAAGCGCAGGGTATTTGTTTTTTATTGAGTTGTGAAGAGTACTGTGCAAAGGCTAAAACAGCACTGGATCCCGCTCCAATCCTAGGTCTCCACCAGCACCGCACTCCACAGGCCCCCAGAAGAGCCCCTCCCAAACACAGCTGATGCCTCTCCCAGCAATGCATTTGGTAGAAGCCTGAGCAATGGACCTGGCAATGCGTCCTGAAGACCAAGAGTCGTAGGCTCTGACAGACAAGCAAATTCGAACCCAGCTGCCCTCAGCCACCTCCTGTTTAAATCTGGAGAACATCACCTCATATCTCTGGAGAATGTATCATCCGGGATCTGCCATGGGGAAATGCCTCCCCTTCCTACCCAGCCCCTCCCCCATCCTTCCTTCTCCAGCACCCTGGCAACTCAGCCATCCTCCCTGTCCTGCAGACATTAGCATGCTCACTAAACCCTGCAGCATCAGCTCCACCATCTGCCCAGTCATCTCCGTTCCCAACTCCAAAACACGCATCCAGGCTGTCACAGGGTTCAGGGTGCAATTCAGACTATTGAGGAGTTGTACCCCGAGTGCCTCACCATGCCTTGCTGCTATACCTCCCAACATGGGACACACACAACCAGCCTCGCAGCAAGCAGGTTGCACACGGACTGTGTGTGCTAGACAGCCCTGGGCGAACAGCTCTGAGCCCAGCAGCCTGTTTGCACCCCTTCTCTGGCTTCCACCAGCCACCTTTATAACCAACAGGGTGACCCCAACCCACTCCCAGTCCCAAATTTACCCAAAGCATGTGCTCTGTTATATCCAGCCCTCTCCTGGACAATACGATTCAGTTGTTCCTCTAAAGATCCAAAAGCACATGACAGCTTATTAATTTAACTGGGGTAAATACACACATCCCTTTAAACACCACACTGCGATGGTTTATATTAATAGTAAAATAGGATTGTAGGTGAATTCAAGGATAAGAGATACAGTCAAAAAGGGTTACAAGAAAAAGAAAGTGAAAATACATCTAAAAGTCTAAAACTTAATCTAGCAAGGTACAGGCTTTGTTGCAGACGGTTTCTCACACCAGTCATTTCCCCCACCAGCACTGGCTGACTTTCCCTCAGTCAGGACCTTCCACAAAAGTACAAGGGGGTTGGACTAGATGACCTCCTGAGGTCCCTTCCAACCCTGATACTCTATGATTCTATGAAGGTGCCAGCTTTCCGTGTCTTCCTAGGGGAAAGATCTTTGCGTAAGCAGGTTTCTCACCTATATTCAGTTTCCAGAGTCTTCAGCCTACCCGGCTTGGTTGAAGGACCGATCTTTCTCGGCTAGCAAGAGAAAGACGGGTCCTTCCCCTATGTCTGTCTAGTGATGGATACCAAGGATGACTTCTGTCTTTGCTTATATCTTCCAAAGTTCAATGACTTGGTTTCAAGAGGCGGGATGACCTCATGCTGTTTTCTCTTCCTGTGGGCTTCCCATCCCCCTTTATCTCCATGGGACTTATCATAGAATCATAGAATATCAGGGTTGGAAGGGACCCCAGAAGGTCATCTAGTCCAACCCCCTGCTCGAAGCAGGACCAATTCCCAGTTAAATCATCCCAGCCAGGGCTTTGTCAAGCCTGACCTTAAAAACCTCTAAGGAAGGAGATTCTACCACCTCCCTAGGTAACACATTCCAGTGTTTCACCACCCTCTTAGTGAAAATTTTTTTCCTAATATCCAATCTAAACCTCCCCCACTGCAACTTGAGACCATTACTCCTCGTTCTGTCATCTGCTACCATTGAGAACAGTCTAGAGCCATCCTCTTTGGAACCCCCTTTCAGGTAGTTGAAAGCAGCTATCAAATCCCCCCCTCATTCTTCTTTTCTGCAGACTAAACAATCCCAGCTCCCTCAGCCTCTCCTCATAAGTCATGTGTTCTAGACCCCTAATAATTGTTGTTGCCCTTCGCTGGACTCTCTCCAATTTATCCACATCCTTCTTGTAGTGTGGGGCCCAAAACTGGACACAGTACTCCAGATGAGGCCTCACCAATGTCGAATAGAGGGGAACGATCACGTCCCTCGATCTGCTCGCTATGCCCCTACTTATACATCCCAAAATGCCATTGGCCTTCTTGGCAACAAGGGCACACTGCTGACTCATATCCAGCTTCTCAACCACTGTCACCCCTAGGTCCTTTTCCGCAGAACTGTTGCCTAGCCATTCGGCCCCTAGTCTGTAGCGGTGCATTGGATTCTTCCGTCCTAAGTGCAGGACCCTGCACTTATCCTTATTGAACCTCATCAGATTTCTTTTGGCCCAATCCTCCAATTTGTCTAGGTCCTTCTGTATCCTATCCCTCCCCTCCAGCGTATCTACCACTCCTCCCAGTTTAGTATCATCCGCAAATTTGCTGAGAGTGCAATCCACACCATCCTCCAGATCATTTATGAAGATATTGAACAAAACCGGCCCCAGGACCGACCCTTGGGGCACTCCACTTGATACCGGCTGCCAACTAGACATGGAGCCATTGATCACTACCTGTTGAGCCCGACAATCTAGCCAACTTTCTACCCACCTTACAGTGCATTCATCCAGCCCATACTTCCTTAACTTGCTGACAAGAATACTGTGGGAGACCGTGTCAAAAGCTTTGCTAAAGTCAAGAAACAATACATCCACTGCTTTCCCTTCATCCACAGAACCAGTAATCTCATCATAAAAGGCGATTAGATTAGTCAGGCATGACCTTCCCTTGGTGAATCCATGCTGGCTGTTCCTGATCACTTTCCTCTCATGCAAGTGCTTCAGGATTGATTCTTTGAGGACCTGCTCCATGATTTTTCCAGGGACTGAGGTGAGGCTGACTGGCCTGTAGTTCCCAGGATCCTCCTTCTTCCCTTTTTTAAAGATTGGCACTACATTAGCCTTTTTCCAGTCATCCGGGACTTCCCCCGTTCGCCACGAGTTTTCAAAGATAATGGCCAATGGCTCTGCAATCACAGCCGCCAATTCCTTCAGCACTCTCGGATGCAACTCGTCCGGCCCCATGGACTTGTGCACGTCCAGCTTTTCTAAATAGTCCCTAACCACCTCTATCTCCACAGAGGGCTGGCCATCTCTTCCCCATTTTGTGATGCCCAGCGCAGCAGTCTGGGAGCTGACCTTGTTAGTGAAGACAGAGGCAAAAAAAGCATTGAGTACATTAGCTTTTTTCACATCCTCTGTCACTAGGTTGCCTCCCTCATTCAGTAAGGGGCCCACACATTCCTTGGCTTTCTTCTTGTTGCCAACATACCTGAAGAAACCCTTCTTGTTACTCTTGACATCTCTTGCTAGCTGCAGCTCCAGGTGCGATTTGGCCCTCCTGATATCATTCCTACATGCCCGAGCAATATTTTTATACTCTTCCCTGGTCATATGTCCAACCTTCCACTTCTTGTAAGCCTCTTTTTTATGTTTAAGATCCGCTAGGATTTCACCATTAAGCCAAGCTGGTCGCCTGCCATATTTACTATTCTTTCGACTCATCGGGATGGTTTGTCCCTGTAACCTCAACAGGGATTCCTTGAAATACAGCCAGCTCTCCTGGACTCCTTTCCCCTTCATGTTAGTCCCCCAGGACTAACATTGTTTGATTTCATCAGGTTTAATTGATATAGAAAACAGGTAAATAGCTGCCTTCCCACCTGTCTGGGAGGGAACCTGTTTCTCCCTGTTTGACCACAGACTTTAAAGCATAATATTAAGTATTCCTATTTCCTCAGAGTTTTAATACAGACATCCCACAATGATACAGTAATATTATATACAATCATTGACTCAATTGCTTATATCTTGAGGTTCAGCCCCCCAGGGCTTTATAAACCAGCAATGTAGTCTTTGAAAAGTAGAACCCAGACCAAATTACTCTCTCCTGCTGTGTTTAGATAGCATCCTGGCTCCTCCTTCAGCTGATATGTAAAAATGGACCATTGTTGTCTCTGTCTTTATGACCAAGAGAAGCAAACACACATCCCTTTGTCTAGGGCAGATGAGTTTACCAACTCTCCCGACATGCCTGGTTTACACACATTTTAGTCATAATTCCAGCATACATCCATACCTCCCAAAACACAGCACATACACGTCACACCAGAATATCAATGAGCAGTGAGTTATGAATTTTCAAATGATACCTCCCAAGGCGTATTACAATAGAGTGTAAGGTGTGAACACTGGCTGCTTAGGGTCACCCAGACCCTGGCTGTCTCTGACCTTGACAACTGCCACATCCTCCTCTTAGGGCTTCCTGACTCTCCTCCGGTCAGTCCAAGATGCGCATCCACTGGCCCAGCGCTCTGAGCACCTTCAACCCCTGTGCGCCCCCTTGCACTCACCCCCCTGCCCTGTGCTCTTTGCAGATTGGCTGGGATCCATGGTGTGGCACTGTTTTTTTCAAGTTGTTCTTTGGCCTGATGCCTTCCTGAGCTCTGCTGGCCTCTGCATGAGCTGAACCTGGTGAGGAAAGGGTTAAAGAAGACATTCAGGAGTTAGTGTTGACAGATGCAGAGTAATGCGCATTGGAGGGAATATTCCAAACTGCTCATGAGTATTACTGTGTTCCAAAGCCTTGATTCAGCCAAACATGCAAGCATGTGCTTAAAACAGTTTGCTGAATCAGGCCCTAAACTGGAAATAACCTCTCAGGACAAACCGATGGGTGTCATGATAGCTCAGTGAAAAAATTCTGCCCGTTGTGCAATCATAGTTAAAGTAACAAACAAAAAGTTAGTATCAGAGTGGGTTGAAAATTTTCTGATGTAACAGTTTTCTGTTATAAATTGTTGATTCGATAAAATTGAAATGTCTCACAGGAATGTATTCATTTAGTTTACATTTTTGATTACATGTTACTGAAACATTTCATTTCATGCCATCATGTGCCAGCAATGCCCCTCTGCCATGTACATTGGCCAAACTGGACAGTCTCTACGTTAAAGAATAAATGGACACAATTCAGACGTCAAGAATTATAACATTCATAAACCAGTTGGAGAACACTTCAATCTCTTTGGTCACTCGATTACAGACCTAAAAGTTGCAATTCTTCAACAAAAAAACTTCAAAAACAGACTCCAAGGAGAGACTGCTGAATTGGAATTAATTTGCAAACTGGATACAATTAACTTAGGCTTGAATAGAGACTGGGAGTGGATGGGTCATTACACAAAGTAAAACTATTTCCCCATGTTTATTTCCCCCCCACACACACTGTTCCTCAGAATTCTTGGCAACTGCTGGAAACGGTCCACCTTGATTATCACTATGAAAGGTCCCCCCTCCCGCCCCCGCTCTCCTGCTGGTAATCGCTCCCCTTACCTGATCACTCTGGTTACAGTGTGTATGGTAACACCCATTGTTTCATGGTCTCTATGTATATAAATCTCCCCACTGTATTTTCCACTGAATGCATCCGATGAAGTGAGCTGTAGCCCACGAAAGCTTATGGTTGGTCTCAAAGGTGCCACGAGTCCTCCTGTCCTTTTACCTTGGCAATGTCTCCTGGGGCACGGGCCCTGGGGCTATTGCCCGGCTTGCTGCCCTGTAATGCCGGCCCTGGCTTTTGTATGCAGAAAGATAGCTGCTGCGGCAGAGCTGGGCTGTGGAGTTTTTATCGCATCATGGGGGGCCATTCATCCACATCACAAACAGCGCATGATCAGACGTGAGTGGGAGTCTGTGGTCGGGAGTAGCTCAGGGCTGGGTTAGCAGACGTGGCTGCAAATTAGGGATAAAACTTGTGACCAAATGGCTTGGTCTTTATTAGGGCCAGTCAGTGGAGAGCCACTGTAATTCCTTCCTGCCTCATGCATAACTCAGACTAGCAAACAAAGACATGTACTCTCTTTAATAGCAAATTCAGCCCAGTTTTATCTCCCCAATAAACTGCAAACTTTTTGTTGTTTGGATGCTAAACTAGAAAGTGTGTGGTGTACCAAAGCCTGCATTCAACTTACAAGCTATCACTTTAAGCTTAAGGGGTTTCCTGGTCCTGCTTGAAGACTAAGGGGCTCTGTAGGGAGGTGTGCAGTTTGGGTCTCAGCCATAGGCGCCGACTCCATGGGTGCTCCAGGGCTGGAACACCCACGGAAGAAAACAGTGGGTGCTCATCACTCACCAACCACAGCTGTTTGGCAGCGCCCTCAGTCAGCTAATTGGGGGCACCATCAAACAGCTGTTTGGCAGCTCGGGAGGGGCTTGGAAGAGGGACAAGACCAGCAAGTGGAGGGCGGGCTGGGATCTTGGGGAGGGGGTGGAGTGGGGGCGGGAAGAGGCGGAGTGAGGGCAGGGCCTTGGGGGAGGGAGGCAGAGCAAGGGTGGGGCCTTGGGAGAAGGGATGGAGTGGGGGTAGGGCCTCAGGCGGAGCGGGGGTGAAGCACCCCTGTGGAAAAGTAAAAGTTGGCACCGATGGTCTCAGCCGTCAGTTTGCAAAGAGCCAGCCTAAAGCAAGGTGGGGTGAGTTGGGCCTCTCAGCCTTAAGGAGCAGCCTGCTTTGTCTCACTCTGTTTTCAGTTCTTGTGTTTTAAGATTCTGGATTCTACGGAAAAAAATCATGGTAAGCTGCAACCTTCCAACAAGAATATTTATGTTTTTATCTAACGTCCCTGGGCATATGCCGTGAACATAACAGAAGGAATGGCAGAGTGACTGGTTAGCTTTCCATGCTTTATGCTATACCCCCAGAAGGGTGTTGAAGCCAAAAGTAACTCCTGTCTATAATCAAACTAAGTCCCTTTGTTTTAGTTAAGCCGATTTTTACAGAAAAATGTCCAGGTTTTACAAAAAGTATTACTCAGTTTTTTCAGATTTTCTCCCGACTTTTGTATCATTCAAATATATAAAAAATTACTTGTTTTATTAGGAAAGTACAATACATTGCATGGTCTGTGTGTATATGCAAAGCTGCCTGTTGAAGTAAAGTTACATATTAGTCTAGAAGATGCACACAATAAACAAACAGGCACTCACACAAACTCTGCCGTGCGTCACATCTGAACGTCCTGATGAATCTCATCCCACCACGTACACATTTCAAGGTGTTAGCAGATAAAGGTTTAAAGATCTGACATTCTAAAATGGGAAGAAAATGAAAATCTGTATCAGAATACATTTCAGAACACAAGGAAGTATTCAAAAACTTCGAAACAAAACACGAGAAAAGGGTGAAGTTGAATGTATGCGCTGCAAATGGTGTGGCCCAATTATTAAATGTAAATATTTATAGGCTAATAGTTCTAAGTCTACAACAGTAAACTGTTCATTCAAATGAAAAGTTTCATTTGGGGATTAGGGAGATATTGTTTTCTTAAACTCAGAGGTGGCATTTTGTTCTGAGTGATTTTCACCTGTTTTTGTTGTGCTAATAAACACTGATAAATTCCCAGGAAAAATGAAATAGAATGAAAACTGAAAAGGAAGGGCCCTAACTCAAGCAGGAATCTCGAGGAGAAGCAATCTGTTGTCTGAAATACTTCAGCAAAACATACAGAGGGCAGCTGTGGTGAGAACAGACCCGTGTCCAGCAGGGCATGTAATGCCAGCAGCCATTTCCAAATCCGCAGGCAGCGTAGGGAGGCAGGGTTCTTGGCTTTAACTCTGTGGAATAGGAAAGCAGTCCAGCTTGCGGCCTGCTCAGGACAAACACACAGAGCAGATGTCTCTGAGCTGTGGGCCGTTTGGCAGGAGTTCCCTCACCGCCCGCAGGGATCTGCATCATTCTTGTGTCCTCTTGTGATTGGCATTATATTTTTGTTCAGCTGGAAATAGACTTTTCCTTTTATTGTCTTGGCTGGTTGCAGACTCTTCTCATGTGCAAGCCACCACTCAGCTCGGCTGGGAGTTAATCTGTCAGCTGATGTCATTGTTTGGCCAGTAGTGACTTGACTGTCTTTAGCCCGTCACCTTCAGGGTCTCTCTCTTTTCCTGTTTAATGTAATGAGAGAATAGATCAAGTGCCAGCAGCAAATCTGTTTCCTCTTAATGTCTAATGGGCTAGCTGTTACTTCGCAGCTCCCTGCCTCCCCAGGTGTCTTTCCTCCATTTCATCCTTGGTCTCTAACCCAAGAATTTTAACGATTGCCAGCTATTGAGGCACTGATTTAGTTGGGGATTGGTCCTGCTTTGAGCAGGGGGTTGGACTAGATGACCTCCTGAGGTCCCTTCCAACCCTGATATTCTATGATTCACGCTACTTACCTCACAAGTGAGAGATGATGTGAACAGCACATCTGGGTTCGAAGCTTAGGAGTGGCAAAGCCTCGCAGAGTGGTGTGGAGAGCTCCACATGAAGGAAACAACTGTAGTATGCCCTGAGTTCGTTCCATGGAGTCTCTATCCTTGTATGGGACAGTCAGCACCTCTCACAGAATCAGAGATTTTCAGTCTAGAAGGGACCATTATGATAATTTATCTGACTTCCTGAATAACCCAGAGCAAATGGCAGTGCCATGCTAGTCTCTGCATTCTTTGTGGTAGGTGTGTGTGGGATTCAATTGATAAAGACTTATAGGAGAGGAATATAATTAATGCCAGTCAACATGGCTTTATGGAAATAGGTCTAGTCAAACAAACCTGATTTCGTTCTCTGATGAGATGAAGTAGATAAAGGGAACTGCACAGATGGAATATAATGTGTGCAATATGTTGTATAAGACATTTGACTTAGTATCGTACTACATTCTGCCAATAAAATTAGCACCATACAATGTCAACAGAGCACCCGTTAAGTGGATTGAGGACTGGCTAACGGACAGACCTCAGTGGGGAATGATTCCCCAGTGGGGGGGTTCTGGTGGTATGATGGATTGCGGGTCTTGAGGCAGTGCTCACACCATGGCCGCACCCAGCACCTCACAGGAACCAGTGGGAAAAGGGGGTAGTGGAGCTCCAGCCCACCAAGGGCTCTGCCCATAGGCCCTGACTCATGTGGGGGCTCCAGGGCTGGAGCACCCGCAGAAAAAAGTTAGCGGGTACTTAGCACCCACCGGCAGCCAGCTGCCTCCCTCCCGCCAGCACCTCCCGCCTGCCCACATCCCCACTGATCGACTCCTCCACCTCCCTCCCAGCACCTCCTGCACACTGCGATCAGCTGTTCCGCGGCGTGCAGGAGACACTGGGAGGGAGGGGGAGGAGCGGGGATGGGACACGCTCGGGAGGGAAGAGGCGGGGTGGGGCCTTGGGGATCGGGGCGGAATGGAGCTGGGAAGAGGCAGGGTGGGGGTGGAGGCTTGGGGGAAGGGGTGGAGTGGGGACGGGCCTGGGGCAGAGGGGGAATCGAGCATCCCCTGGGTAGTGAAGAAGTTAGTGCCTATGGCTTTGCCCATGAAGCTCCTGATGGGGGAAGATGTCCCCCCCTCCCCCAAATGGCTCTGATGCACCACTTAAACCAGAAGGAGGCACAGAAAGTTGACTGAGCAGGTAGGTGAATCCCTGGCTGGCTGCCACTTTGGACCCTACCTACTTGTCTGATTCCTGAGCCCTACCTTCCTGCTTGCTCCTGGTTCCTGCCCTCCTTATCCCAGAACCTCTGCTCCTAGTTCCTGCTTTCCTGCCTTGCTCCATGTCCCTGCTTCTCCGCCGTACCCATGACTCTGTCTTGACCCCTGACTCTGACTCTGGCCTCAGCCCTTGTCTTGACTCCTGACCCCATTTCCAGTTGTGACCCTGGGCTCTAGTTCCTCGCTCCTGGCTCAGACCAGTAGGTGTGACTGCCCATGCCCTGGTCCTCAGTGCTGAGTTTTGCAGCAATCAGCATTAAGCCTGTTGCTATTCATCGTTTTATTCAATGATCTGCAAATAGAGCTATGAAATCACTGCTGATAACGTTTGCAGATGACACATAGATTAGCAGGGTGGTAAATAGTATTGAGGAAAGACCAGTGACAGACGCCACTCTGGGTCTCCTCTAGTCTATCATATTCCAGTAGATATAAAAATAACAAAGCATTTACATTTTCAACATCAAATATTTGAAAACCAGTTTCCCCTTGGCCTACCTGCCTGTGTTTGGGGCACTTCTGTCTCCACCACAGACACCAAAAACTACAGCCCAGGTAGCCATGTCTGAAGGGATATGCTCTCCATTTGGTTCTGCCAGCAGGTTTTGTAACAGAATCCTGAAGTCAGGTTTTAGCAGGTGACTGAAGGAGGAGCTGATTTCCACATCTTGTTTAAAGCACTTGAATATATTATATCTGTAGTCTCTTACTGATTTAAAACTTCTTTCTTTCTTATTTTTAGTATCTCTGCAGTATCCAGGGTGACAAAACTGCAGCTAAGGCAGGGATTTCAGTAGCAGTTGCACTTAACTGGCCATCAGTGCAGGAGAGAGCTTGCCTCTCCCCAGATAGATTTACTGACACTAGGCTACTGAATGTCTCAGGGTTGGAGGAGAGGAATCAAGTATTAAAAAAATAAAAGGAGTACGTCACAGGACACCCTTTCTCCCCTGAGAATGAAGATTTCCTATAATCTCATCTCAGCTGTCTTTCTGTAGGTGAAAGCCATTGCCTCTTGCACTGGACGCCCTGGTCTTTGTGTTATTCACACTGAGGCAGGAAGCCGGTCTGTAGGGAGTCAATTCTGTCCTGGTTCTTGTTGCTGGGCAAGGAAATCCAAGGATGTTCCACTTGGAGGGAAGCAGAGCGCCTCACGAGCCAGGAAGCCCCGCTACCCTGACAGCTTTCAGAGACATGGCGAGAGGCGTTCAGAATGCTGAAAAATGAAGGAGACCAAAAAATGAAAAGTGCCAGATTAACCCCGGAGTGGGAGCTGCATTCCCCTTTCCCTAATCCTTAAATAAGAGGTAAATATTATTATTTGTAAGCCTCTTTTTCAGGTCAGGTCCTTCCTCATTGTAAATCCATCCATCTGTCCTTTCAAATTGTAAATGAATGTACAGATGAAGGAAGAAAGCTAATTCCAGTAGCTCAAAGAAATACAGGACTGGAAAGGATTATACTTCCCAGAGAAGAAATAATACATGGAACATGGAAACATGGAAAAGACTTTTTTTCAGCTAGTCCATGATGAGATCTATAGAACCAGATTTAGATGGGCAGGCCCATTGTCCAGGAACCAGACAGAATTGTTCCTTACAGACCTGCCTTCTGTGTTGTATCCAACCTTAGTGTAAACGACTCAGGGAACAGGCTTCCTTTGCAAGGAACAAGGGCTTTATCCCCAAAAAAGGCATGCTTCCATTAGATAGAAGGAAATCTTTCTACCAGTTTGTTCAGTGATGGAAGTGACACATACCAATGGAAGCAGCTCCAGCCTCTTGAATGGAAACATTCCAAAGCAGATTAGATAACACACTTGTCAGAAGAGATCCTGGGCTAAACCTGCACTGGGGCAAAGGACATGGTGACCTGGGAGACCCTTCCTGCTCTGACCCCCATGATCACATCAGCAAAAGTGAAAAGTGCCAGGAGCTAAGGCACAAGTAACCTGAAAACTCACGTTTAGTGCTTGGTGTGATTCGGAAAATGAAGGAAAGAGCTGTGGTGCATGGATTTAAAATCTGCCATCACAATATGAATTGGGAGCACCAAAGTGTTGTGGTGGGTGTTCTTGGCGTCAGAGAATCCAGTCTTGCTCTTCTTCTGTATAAGTTATACTCCAGAGCAGTCTCATTTTGGTGCAAAATCACAGATGCTGGTTGGCTACAGAAACCCTAGCATGGAGGGTTTGCTGTATTTTTAAGAATTCTCTAGGATCTTACCTCCCCTGGACATTTTCCATCCGTCTTTTTTAACCATGACACTGGGTGGAGTGGAGCAACATGCTTTCAGCCTAGAAGGAAACTGTCACCCCAAACTCCCATTGATGTCCCGTTGAAGCTGATCTATCTATCCATCTATCCTCATATACTTCACATATCACCATAGTGCCTGAGAACCTTATGCAACATGATAGCTATTTACTCCTTGAGGACTGGGTCAGACACTTTCTCCGGAAGAAGACTGTGAGAGCAAAGGGATGTCTGAAGGTTGAGACATAGGTAGACTGAATATTTTAATTACCTGTTATACTCAACACCCAGTGACTGCATCCTCTTCCCCGTACTGTTCTCATTTCCCAGAGTGACAATTCAGAAGGGGCTTTGCACTAATGAAATGCCACCACAGTCACACTGCTGGGCTGCACCAACCTCGAAAAGGAGGCACTGCTTAGAGCATTGTGAGATGGGTGCTCCTGTGCTAGTTATGGTTTAGGCTTCCTCAGTTTCCCTTGACACTTCAAACAGACAGATCTTCCCTTAAGTAAGCCAGATCAGGCTTTGCAGAAACAGTACACAGAAGAAATTGTTTAAGATGACCAGAATGGATGGTACAGATTAAAATATGTCCTTAACCTGTGGGGACTTTACTTTGCTTTGTGGATAGATCTGGAACCACGCTAAATGCTCTGGGAGTGTGACCCAAACAAAATGTCTGTAAGGAAAAAGAGCAGCCCATGGAGCTGTCTGGATCCTCTGGGACATTAGAGTCAGATTCCCCAAGAAGATGGGCTAATGCTGCAAATGCAATCCCATCTGAGTCCAAAGTTCCCCAAACTCAAGGCAGTTCTAATCTGGGATTTTGGTTCAGCTCTGAACTGACAAAGGGACCAGATGCAAAAATTCCGGGGTTTACCCAACCTCGCCCAAAGTTCAGGGCATGTTGGGTGTGACGGGTTCGGTCACAGAGATCCCCTTGGGACTGTCACCTGATGTGCTGAAATCACCTCTGAGCCTGTTTTCCCTGCCAGCTGGATTCCAGAACCCTGCCTTGTTGAGCCAGACATGCTAGCCTTCTCCAACACAGACCCAGGGTCTGGGCCACTTCCCCAAAGCTGCGGATTTTAACTAAAAGCAACTCAGCAGGTTACCTGCCTCCAGCACCCAGACACCCAGCTCCCAATGGGATCCAAACCCCAAATAAATCCGTTTTACTCTTTATAAAGCTTATACAGGGTAAATTCATAAATTGTTCACCCTCTATATCACTGATAGAGAGATTTGCACGGCTGTTTGCTCCACCAGGTATTAATCACTTACTCTGGATTTATTAATAAACAAAAGTGATTTTATTAAGTATAAAAAGTAGGATTTAAGTGGTTTCAAGTAATAACAGCCAGAACAAAGTAAGTCACAAAGCAAAATAAAACAAAACACGCAAGTTTAAGCCTAATACATTAAGAAACTGAATACAGGTAATAGCTCACCCCAAAGATGTTCCAGTAAGCTTCTTTCACAGACTAAACTCCTTCCTAGTCTGGTCCCAGTCCTTTCTCTGGTACAGTCTTTGTTAGTTCCAGCAGACATCTCAGGTGGTAAGCAGGGGTTTTCTCATGACTGGCAGCCCCTTTTGTCCCGCTCCACCCCGTTTTATAGCTTTGGCACAAGGCGGGAATCTTTTGTCTGTGCTTGTTCCCTCCCCC